GCCTGCTACAGCGGGTTCAAATTCCGCCTTGTTGAAACGGATGGCTGTTCGTAAGCGTAATGGTGAGCCTGCTACAGCGGGTCAAATACCGCCTTGTTGAAACGGATGCGTGATCTCAGAAATGATTGTTTGATAAGAAAGCACGAGAAAAAATTAATCTGTTTGAATATGATGCTGTTTTGAATAATAAAGTCTGAGATTATGCAATAATCATGATTGTTTTTATTTATTGTGCGTATAATCAATATGGTATTCAGTGATTAAATGGAATAATATATGCATGCTTACACTCCACTTCAGCGGGCTAATAGAAGTATTGATTAGAATCATAAAGAATGGTGAGATCAACTAGCGGACTTTGCAAGAAAAATAGAAATTGGGTAATATCATTTAAAAATAATGTAATAATTAGCTATTTTTTCAAAACAAACAAATTTTAGAAAAACAACTTCAAATATTCTTCTTGGAGTTTCTATTGCAAGTCCTGATCACGGTATTCTGCTTGACTTTTTTCTTCATTTTGTTGAACATGTCCTTTCAAATGTTTTGTTATGTTGGTGTTCATCCAAAAACCTTCGAACTTAGCTCTGATCATCTTATCGCAGAATGGGCATGAGAAGCGGCATTTGAAAATGAAGTCATCGCCTTTTGGAATGCGTTCGAAATCCAATATATTTTTTTTGGTAATGATTCCATCTGGAAATGATGAATCGATCTTACGCGCTGCTAACACCAAACTGCCAATCAATCGATCTTGCATTTCGTTGTCTGAGAATGTTTTTTTTCCCTTCATAGTTTTTATTCGCTTCGGCAAATCCAACAAGATGGTTTTATGACCGGGCAAAAATTTAAAAACTTCAATTTCTTTGTACTGTTCGCTGTAACAACAATTCAACTCGTTCAAATGGTGTTTGTTCGATTGAATATGGCGCTCAATCTCTTCAATCTTTGCTTCGTCGATTGCGCTCAAACTAATGAATGTATCATAGCCTGCAGCAGTCAAAATTGTTTTTATACATGGTGGAAATTTCTCCTTGGACCATTGTTTGTATAACTTCTCGATTTTTTTCCAAACTGACTGAAATAAGCCAATATTTTGCAAACAACATAAGTAGAGTTTTTTTCAAAAATCACATCTTTTTATTGTCAACAATGATTTATAACAATACTTACCATGTTTTTTCGGTAAAACTTCTTCCTTAATTTTTATTGTACAAATGGAAATGAAATTCTAACAGGTAATTAGCATACATCTAGAATTCAAACCTTAGCGCTCGTTTGTTCAAATGTCAAACGTATTTTCGTAATTCGTAATTTGTACGTGTTTTGTGAAAAAGTTGACATAAGAGAAATGATATTGCAGATCAACATTCTTGGATGTCATTTCATTTCAAAATTTCATATTTAATTTTGAATCATATAATCTGAGCGATATACATAATTTTCTTGCATTTTTCTTTTATAAATGAATCAAAAAACATTTTAAAAGCCCAAGAGAATAGTGCAAAAGTGTGTGATTATGTGCTAAAAGCACCAAAAAAGTAAAATATGTGAATGTGAGTTTTTGCTAGTTTTGTTAGTTTTCCCTAGTTTTTTCATAAAAAAACCTAGTTTTTTTAGCATCTAGTTTTGTGAAATGCCCCAAGACAAGACTGAAAAGTAACACTTTATTTTTCATTACTTATATTTATGGCATAACACTCTCCCTTGTTCTTAATCTAGTCGTGTTTTTTTTAAATCTTGAATTTTTTTTACACGATTAGATTGATACGAACATTTAAGAACATAAGTTGAAATTTTATACTTAACATTGGCAAGAAAACTTTAAACCAAAAAACTATTGAACTTTAGTACAAATATGTTTTTTTTTAAAAAAAGGATACAATCCAAAAACGTTGAAACATTACTATGGTTGAATTTAAACAAAAGATGAACAAAAGTATTGATGAATGCCAGCTTCGATGTCACCCGATGAGTGTTATACGTTGTTTTGTTGACGTTGAGCTGGACGATATTTTCTCTTCATGGCCCTTTTTAATGATTGTAGCGCAAAAATAAACAGTTTAATTACTTCCGCGCCCACTAGTAGATATGTAGCGAACAGTAGATGTTCGTTCAACAGCACTTGAAGATGGGTGTCCTTGGCTTCTTGGATTATCACGTTGTTGTTGATGTTTCCGCTGCTATCGATATTTTTTTGTTCCGTGCTCTCTTCTGAGTCTCCAAATCAATCCATATTGGCTCGCTCTTTTGTTTTTTTTTATGAACTGATATTAAAAAAGACAATGGATGTTAGCGCGACGAGTGTCGATAACGTAATACAATTTCAAAATAAATGTTTAAGTCCAAAGACAAACAAAAAAAAATGCTGACTTGAGAATATGTTGTTTTGCATGGATCTATATTAG